CTGATCACTTTTCTTCTTAATATCTTGCTCGAAGTTAACGATTTTTTTGAGCCAATTTATGTAAGAATCTATTTCATTTCGAAAGGTTCTAGTTCGCATTCATTTAGAAATCCAATTCGCATGATCTTGGTCGAAATACTTGTGTATTTATTAGACGTGTTTCTATTAGACATGGATATGTACATTAATTTTTGGTTACCTTAATAAGAAATGCAGGTCACGTGGAAAAACGTTGAATAATTGAAATTCTCTCCCGATGGCATTTAAAGATGTATTTATTTAAAATTTCTTTTTGCGAGTTGTAAGATCACTCATCTTGGTAAAATTATACCATCAAGAAATCCTATCTTGATTATCTTGATTATTTTGATGATAATCGATTCTCACTAAAAGTGAAATAAACATTTTCAATAATGTACTTTTCAACGAAATTTATTATAACTCGAACATTAATAACGCGAGCATTCTTTTCAAAGTTTACAAGACGAAATTTTTATAATAATTATTCCTATATAAGATATAACGAAGAAAAAGATAATTTTAGTCGATGTTCTTCACAATTTAAAGCACAAGCTTTAATCCCTTTTGTCGTTGAACAAACGGTATATATTATCATGCAAATAAAGGTATAATTTTGTAAAATTTATTAATATTATATATATATATAGGCAAGAGGAGAACGATCGTATGATATATTTTCTCGATTGCTAAAAGAGCGCATTGTATGCCTGAATGGTCATGTAGGTATCAAATTTTCGTGATCTTCCAAGGTATTTCTGAAAATTTCTTATAAATCTAAATTAAAAGGTGGAGGATGAAATCGCAGCAGTAGTAGTAGCACAATTATTATTCCTTGAAGCCGAAAATCCAGACAAACCAATCAGCTTATATATCAATAGTCCCGGTGGAAGTGTTACGGCTGGAATGGCAATTTACGATACTGTAAGTTATTTTAAATTTATTTAATAGTCATGTGTCTTATTCTTATTTTTATAATTTCTAACATAAAAAAATACTTATTGATAGATGCAGGTATTTGAGATTTCACGTGTATAATTTACTTAAGGTCACGCGTTTATTTAGATATTATTTATTTACTCAGTATATTCAATCGCCTGTATCAACACTTTGCAACGGTCAAGCATGTTCAATGGGTTCATTATTACTTGCAGCTGGTATTATGATACTATTAAAAATTTTTTTTTTTTTGTTGGAGGTTTTTATTTAAATTGTTTTATCTCCTTTAAATAGGTGAAGAAGGTAAACGATATTCACTTCCAAACTCAAGTATAATGATACATCAGCCAATGGGAGGAGCAGCAGGACAAGCGAGTGATATTGCTATTCATGCAAAAGAAATACTAAGAGTTAGAGAAAGATTAAACAAGATTTATCAAAAACATACAAAGAAACATAGTTTAGAAGATATTGAGAAAGCTGTTGAAAGAGATTATTTTATGACTGCTGAAGAGGCATTAGAGTTTGGATTAATTGATAAAGTATTGGAAAAAAGAGAAATAAAATCGTCAGATTCTGATGAGAATTGATAAATACATTTTCAGCATATATCCATGACAACATGGCATTTTAACATAAATATTAATTTTCATGTTATTTGGTCGTGATATTCTTGAAATTAAATACTACCCCGTCTTTGAATCGGTCGTTAATTCTAACCAAGCCACTTATGATGGAGTAAATGACATTGGCCGTTGCAATCGGAAAATCATATCAAATAAAATCCTATATTAAGATTGTGAACGAAGCATCATTAATTTTTTAGTAGTAATTATTTTATTCCGTTTGAATGATGAGGTAGAATAGAATTAATATTATTAGTGCTAAAAAACATTATTTTTTTAATTCATACAAAAGACATTTATCAAGAATAGGTAATATTTACAAATGGCTATGGGTCCGAGTATTTTCCTCTATGCAAAGTGCTCTGACAATTTTTGTTAACATGTAATATAATTTTAAGCACATATAAGTTCACGTGATGATATCCGAACGCGTGACGTATACAACGATTATAATATTTTGTTAACTCATGACTAGAAATTTTAACAGTATAATTGGATAATTAATTTTATTGGTTGAAAATTAAATCACGTGATTATAATTTTGACGTGTTTTTATTAATTTATTTTAATTATATTTTTTCTAATCAATAAAAAATTTTAAAAATACATTATAATGTTATCTTAAAAGTTGCTTGGCCCTTGATCTATTTATCAATGTTTCAAAAATTTTTTAGATTTTTAAAGATTAACTGAAAATAGCTTTTAATAAAGCAAAAAATACAGAACATTAATTTTTTATTCTCATTTACAATTATATGATATTATTTGTTTTTCTCATAATATATCTATTGTAGAAAGTAATAAAATACAAAAAATAATTTGCAACCTGAATTATCTTTTGAAGGAATAGCTTCTAAAATTCAAAAAATGATATCTGGTTTTTATCAAGATAGAAGAGAAAAAAAATAAAAAATTGTTAAATAATAATAAAACAAAAAAATATATAAATGAATTTAAATAAATAACTTTAAAGAATGAATAATTGATAAATACCTTTTAATTTTTAATATATCTGAAATTATTAAAATAATAAATAATATTAGCAAAAGTTATTTTTAATAATCTTTTAAAAAAATGTTAAAACTTTCTTTATTTATCTTATAAAAAACAACAATTTTTAATTCTAAGTGAAGTTTAAATGTTTGCAATATATTGTAAAATAATAACATAATATGTTATAATTTACTAATCATAGGATTTTTATTTATGCTCATGTCTTATTAATTGCTAAAAATAATAGAAGTAATGAAAAGTATTTAAAAAATTTATTAATAGTAATACAGATAAAAAAAATAAAAATTTTATGATATTTAATAATTGTAATTATTTTATAAATTATTAAATTAAATATTATAATTTTAAAGATATAATAAATTTAAAAATGATAGTAATTTTAATTTAATTAAAAAATATGTAATTAATATGATAAAAAGATCTAATTTAGTAGAATTAAATAAATTGAATATTATAAATGTAAAAAGATTTTTATTACTTAGTATCAAGTTTATTTGAGAATTTATTAAATATATAAAATATTAATATTTCTTTTTAAAGTATTTAATCTTAATATAGTAAAAGTTTAAAAAGTTAATAAATCTTTTATTAAATTTAATTTATTAAAAATTAATAAACAAATATTTTTAAAAAAATTAAAACTTATATTTAGTCTAATATTTTTTTTTTAAAATTATAAGAGAAAAAATACCTTTATAATAATATTTGTTTATTAATAAATACAAAAATATTATTTATTTAAAATTAATATAAATCTATATATATTGTTACGGTCAGTTCTTTAAGTTACTTATAAGTGATAAGTGAAGCAATATTTATGGGTGGTAAGCAGTAGGTTTAATTTAATATTTAAATCTAGAAGAGTGTCGATAAATTAACAGTTTATTTAATAACTATAACAATGAAGTACTGCTTCAGTCAGCGCTCTGTACTATACAATTATGTTAAAGGGATTAAACTAAACTATTATATAAAACTATAT